TCTGGGCTCTCTATTCTGTTCCATTGATCTGTTTTTTGCCAGTACCATACTGTTTTGATTACTATAGCTTTGTAGTATAGTCTGAAGTTAGGGAGCATGATTCCTCCAGCTCTGTTCTTCTTTCTCATGATTGTTTTGGCTATTCTGGGTCTTTTGTGGTTCCATACAATTTTTAAAATTATTTGTTCTAGTTCTTTGAAAAATGCCATTGGTATTTTGATAGGGATTCCATTGAATCTGTAGATTGTCTTGGGTAGTGTGGTCATTTTAATACTATTAATTCTTCCAATATAAGAACATGATATATCTTTCCATCTGTGTTGTACTGTGGGCTCTTTTGCTTCGTTTCCCTCTGCAGCTTTTCTCTGCCTTTGAGTGAGGATTTGCAGTAGGATTGAAAATGCATTGGGCAGAGAGAACACACCAGTTCTCATCCTGGTTCTGAGGCACAACCAGCAGGATGAGCTTCGGCCGCTGTCACAACCTCTCAGAACCCCTGTCTTCCCCTATAACGAGTGTTAGTACTAACATCCGCCTCCTCTCGGGGTGGTTGTAAGGACCCACAGTCACGGCTTTGAGTGAGCTCAGTCAGCGCAGACCCATCCAGTCTGTCATTTCTGGGTGTCCCCTCTGCAGCCTGGTCTGCCACGTGGCCACATCCCAGCACCCCTGCAGTCATGGTTAGAACTCCTCTCTCAACAGGCTGTGAATGATCACCCAGGAAGGGAACCCAGAATCCCCAAAGCAAGTCACTCAGCTGTCCATTGCCACTCCCGCTAAGGAGGAAGGCCTGGTGAGGGGCCGGACCACAAATAGCACAGCATCCTGTGCCCCAGACCCACGTGAGTTTCCCTCAAGAGTTGTGTCAATAAGATCCATTTTCTGAAACAGCTTTTCTGTTCTGATTATAAAAGTCACACCTGCTTCTTGGTGAAAACTTGAAACATGTGGGAAGTCTACAGAAATAAATCAAATCTAAAATCCCATCCCCAGGACTTCCCTGGTGGTGCAGTGGTTAAGAACCTGCCTGCCAATGCAAGGGACACAGGTTCGAGCCCTGGTCCGGGAAGATCCCACATGCCGTGGAGCAACTAAGCCCCTGTGCCATAACTACTGAGCCTGCGCTCTAGAGCCTATGTGCCGCAACTGCTGAGCCCACTTGCTGCAACTACTGAAGCCCGTGCGCCTAGAGCCTGTGCTTCGCAAGAAGAGAAGCCACTGCAATGAGAAGCCTGCATGCTGCAATGAAGAGTAGCCCCCACTTGCTGCAACTAGAGAAAGCCCGTGCGCAGCAACAAAGACCCAACTCAGCTGATTAATTAATTAATTTTTAAAAAATAAAATAAAATCCCATCCCCAAACCCCAGGTTCCACAATGATGTCAGATGCAACTTTGCTTTCTTCCCTTGTCACCATGTGGACAGGACTTTCCAGTGTATGTAAAACTGTATTGATGCCACTTTTTAAAAAAATTTTATTGAAGTATAGTTGACTTACAGTGATGTGTTAATTTATGCTGTTCAGCAAAGTGATTCAGTTATACATGTATATATATATATATTCTTTTTCACATTCTTTTCCATTGTGGTTTATCACAGGATGTTGAATATAGTTCCCTGTGCTATACAATAGGACTTTGTTGTTTATCCATCCTATATATAATAGTTTGCATCTACTAATCCCAAATTCCCAATCCTTCCCTCTCCCACCTCGCCTCCCCATTGTCAACCACAAGTCTGTTCTCTGTGTCTGTGAGTCTGTTTCCGTTTCTTAGATATGTTCATTTGTGTTATAGTTTAGTCTCCACATTTAAGTGATACTATATGGTATTTGTCTAGGTCCATCCATGCAGCTGCAAATGGCATTATTTCATTCTTTTATATGGCTGAGTAGTATTCCATTGTGTGTATATGTGTGTGTGTGTGTGTGTGTGTGTGTGTGTATCTCCCCATCACATCTTCTTTATCCATTCATCTGTCGATGGACATTTAGGTTGTTTCCATGTCTTGGCTATTGTAAATAGTGCTTCTTTAAATATAGGGGTGCATGTATCTTTTCAAATTATAATTTTGTCTGGGTATATGCCCAGGAGTGGGATTGATGGATCATATGGCAACTCCATTTTTAGTTCTTTGAGGAACCTGCATACTGTTTTCCATAGCAGCCATTGGTATGTTTTCCATACCAATTTACATTCCCACCAGCAGTGTAAGAGGATTCCCTTTTCTCCACACTCTCTCCAGCATTTATTATTTGTAGACTTTTTGATGATGGCCATTCTGACCAGTGTGAAGTGGTACCTCATTGCAGTTTTTATTTTCATTTTTCTAATAATTAGCGATGATGAGCATCTTTTCATGTGCCTACTGGCCATCTATGTGTCTTCTTTGGAGGAATGTCTATTTAGGCCTTCTGCCAATTTTTTGATTGGGTTGTTTTTTGTTGTTGAGTTGTATGAGCTATTTGTATATTTTGAAAATTAGGCCCTTGTCATTGATGCCACTTTTAATAACTGCATAGTGTTGTGCTTTATAGAATAATTTACTTAGCCATCATTATTGGACATTTTGATTGTTTCCAACTTCTCATTATTAATCCGTGTTCAAGACTGTATTGCATAAATCGTGTCTCAGATTTTTTTTTTTTTTTTTTTTGCGGTACGCGGGCCTCTCACTGCTGTGGCCTCTCCCATTGCGGAGCACAGGCTCCAGACGCGCAGGCTCAGCCGCCATGGCTCACAGGCCCAGCCGCTCTGCGGCATGTGGGATCTTCCCAGACTGGGGCACGAACCCGTGTACCCTGCATCAGCAGGCGGACTCTCAACCACTGTGCCACCAGGGAAGCCCTCTCAGATTTTTCTTAGCTTTTTATTGAGAAATAATTTCAGACTTAACCAAAAAAATAAAAATTAGTAAAAATAGTACAAAGAGCTCCCATATGCCTTTCAATCAGTCTTTCCAAATGTAAACATTTTATAAAACCATAACACAAATATAAAAACCTGGAAATTTACTGATACAATACCATTAACTAATCTATATACTTTATTCAGAGTTCTCCAGTTGTCCCACCAGTATCGTTCTCTGTTCCAGGATGCCACATTGCATCATTTGTCCTGTGTCTTTAGTTCCTCCTCAGTCTTTCTCTGTCTTTCATGAACCTGATCCTCTTTCTAGTTGAGGTTAAATTCACATCACATAAAAGCAACCATTTTAAAGTGTGTGGTTCAGTGGCATTTAGTACGTTCATAATATTGTACAACCACCACTTCTGTCTGGTTCCAAAACAATTTCATCAGACTTTGATCCTGTTGAAGATTATTATCCTGTTGAAGATATTCTATAGAATATCCTGACATCTGCATTTGTCTGATGTTTTCTCATAATTAGATTGAGATTATGCCTTTTGGGCAGGAAAACCAGTGAAGTGATGTTCTGTCCTTCTTGGGGCACCGTATCCGAGGGCACGTGATGTTGATACATTTCATTATTGGCGATGTTAACTTCAATTTGGTTAAAGTTATATCTGCGAAGTTTCCTTACTGTAAAGGTACTGTTTTACCCTCGGTAATTAGGAAGTATCTTATGAGGAGATACTTTGAGATCAGGTTCTTTAACCTACCATTTTTCCAAAAGCCAAGAAACTTAAACCTCTGAGATGGTGTGGGAAGAAAGAGTGGTGGAGAGGAACTGGCCCAGGTGTGGCCAGATCTCAGCCTGTGCGTGTATCTCAGTTTCTCCTTCTGCACGACAGAAAGAATTATGCTGGTTATGTAAGGATCTTGTGTGGAAAAGAAGAGAAAACCTAGAACTGGGTACTCAGAGGTCATTCCGAGGTGGAAAGTGCTGTCAGTGAGCAGTACCTGTGCCTGGGAAGCCCACGACAAATCTCCTTGGCTTCCAGAAGAGATGGAGGAGGCAGAGCCCCAGTGGGGGTAAAGCCTCTGCAGAGGGTGTGGTGGGCCTGGAGAGCTGGCCTGGCTGTGTCTTTAACTCCTTTGGCTTCTCCCCCTTCCCAACACCCTCTTCTGTGGCCTGGCGCAGCCGACACCCAGAGGCAGGTGAGTGGGCAGCTCGGGAGAGGCCACAGGGCATGTCTACTGCATGTGCAGTTTCGACGCCAGCCTTTGCCCCCTTGCAGTGGCCCCGTGCACCCTCCAGCTGCCCGCTGCATGTTGGCACTCGCTGTGCACACCTCTGCTTCCTCACCTCACGCTTCGTGTGTCTCCTGCTCTCCCCCTTAACCCCATCATCCTCCTTCGAGCTGGGTTTGCTGCGCCTGCTGTAGGGGGAGTGGCCCAGGATACTTGGGGAGGGGTCGTCTTTCTGGGTGGTCCCCGGACAGGTGGCCCAGCTCATGGCTGCAAAGGCCTGAGATGTTACTCCTTGGCCCTTAGCCACTGGGCAGCCTGGTCACTGCGCAGCAGCTGGCCGGGCACGCTTGCTCCTGTGGAAGGAAAGGAGGGCAGTTGGTGGGAAACACAGGCCCTGCTTGCTGTGCTGCTCTGAGCCCCTCCCCACCCTCTGGGAGCCCCTGGCTCTGGGCCTTGGTGCTCTGCTCTGCCGGGACCTGGGGTGTGTTTGATGGTGCGCGGCTGTCCCATGCTGACCCTCTTAATCCCATTGTCCCTCCAGGGCATTGAGCGCCTCAAACGAAAGCACCAGCCCAGGGAACGCACAGGCAGCTGGAAGTCAGTCAAAGAGACCTTTGGTGGAGACTTTTCCCTGAACTGGTTCAACCCCTTCTCCGGACTGCGTCATCCGAAGCCTCTCAGTGACAGTGACTGGGTGCGACAGGTGGCATCGCTGTCAGACACTGAGAACACAGAAACAACAGAGGAGCACTCAGAGCAGAGGAAGGACGAGGACTCTGTGGAGGTGATAGATGAATGATACTGTGGGGAGAGGGCCAGGCACCAGGCAGCCGCATCACCCTATGTGCCGGCATCGTCGCCACAGGGCTCCTGCGCACCACTCGCTCCCCTGCACCCACTGCTCCCTTCACACCACCCCCTTGGCCTTGCCGTCCTCTGACCCCTCCTCCCTCTCCCCATGTTGGACCAGGTCGGGGATGGGGGTGGACTAGGGGTGACAGAGGAAGATGAGAAACTTGCTCTGAGCTCCCCTGCCCATGAGGGATTGTCAGGAACCATTCTCCGAGGTCGGGCGCCCTTCACAGCCTGTGCAGCCTCACCCAGCAAAGGAAGCTCTGAATAGGGCAGCCTAGGGGCAGAAAAGAACTGGCCTCTGTCCTTTCTTGGGATGTCTGTCTTCTCTTGAGAAGGTTGGGGCCCAGGCTTCTGGCTTTTGAGAACTAAGGCTGTGTGGTTGTGATGGAAGAACAGAGCAGGGCTGGCCTTGGGAACCTGGGGTGGGGACACTGGCATCAGGAGAGATGGACCTGGAAAGGCTGAAAGGATCCTGGTCACTCCCCCGAAAGGGCTTCCCCCTGGTGCCTGCCTAAACCAGAAGAAAGGCATGGCGGCCTCGGCTACCTTCAGGGCTGAGGCTTGGTTTGGGAGAGGAGGACTCCAACAGCAGGCTATACACACGCACACGGGACAGGCCCAGGTTGGAAGCAAGCCTGAGTTATGACAGTAACACCCAAACTTAGCTCCCGTTCTATAGATACTAGAATCCCTGAGTCAGCTCGGAGGTGTCCTGCCTTGTGGCTAAAAACCGGCCCATTCCCACTGGAGGGTCAGGAGGAAGAACCTGTTTAGAGCTACCGGAACTCTAACCTCCCCCATGAGAACTGCATTTAACTGTCCATCCTGGAGAGAGTCTAACCACCCACATGGGCAGAATTGACCAGAAATCTGGCCTGAATGTTTTAGGCCAGTTCTCCCAAGACAGTGCCCATCATGTCTGTCTGAAAGGATGGGTGGTGGCCAGGGCCTGCAGATTGAAACAGCCCCCCGCCACATACACACACACACACACACACACACTCTACCAGAGAGGGCATCTCTGGTGGGTCCCTGTGCTGCTGCCCACAGCTCTGCTTCCAGGCCAGCCCTATGGGGCCACCAGCACTGGTGAGATGAGGTGGTGGGCAAGGCAGACGTGGGGCACCCCTTGGGATGTCTTCTTTACCCCAAATGTCAGAAAGGGGCACCTTGTTTAACACCCTTCTTTTCCTGGGTCTGGTCCAAGTCAGGACCCCTCTGGCTGGCCTGCCCCCTCTGCACCCCGAGGTGGAGGCCCACAGGGTCACAAAGGCAGCTTTATTCCTGGGGATTGGGGAGTGAATGGGAGGTACAGAGGGATGGATCTTACCTCCTTGGCCATGAGAGAGAGGAACTGAAGCAACAGGATCAGCAAATTCACAGACCACATCTAGGGCCACATCCAAGATGATTCCCAAGGGAAGGCCTTCCTGAAAAGGGGACCTGGGGTCCAGCAGCATGTCCGGGGAGCACAGGGCTGGCTGTCCTCACTGCGTGTGAGCTGGGAGTGCTCAGCAGGGTAAGGGCCTGGGATGGGCCTGCCTGGTATGAGGGGGAGGGGTGCTCTCCGATCACTCCCAATGCTGCCTGGAGGAGGGGCATGTTTCAGGTATTAGAGTGAGAGTGAAATGTCTGGATGAGACCAGGTGAGGAGGCTGTGGCTTCCTTGGAGAAGGTTCAGGGGCTGTATGGAGGGAGCAGGTATGCAGGCTCCCTCACCAGGAGAGGTGGAGCCGTTCACCATCTTCCTCCCTCCCTCCCTCATCCCCCCACCCCCGCATCGGGCCCCCTTGAAGGTTCCTGATTTTAACTTACCAACACAATCAGTCATCGAGTAGGTGGGACCACTGGGTCATCCGCCACCACCAAGGGGCTGGGGCTCCTTCCACATGGAAGACTGGACATGCCTACTACATGACAGGTGCCTCGAAGGCTCACCAACCATGGGGAAGCGTAGGGGCTGTGAAGTTGGGTTTTAGGTGCCATAGTTTCAAGTTGCCTGAAGTTGTCGAAAGTCAAAGGTGAACAGACAGCACTTGGCCCTCAGTCCTGCTTCTGGTTTGGCAGGCAGGCCCAGGCCCAGGCCCGGTGTGTGCAGAGATCTGAGGGAAAGGCCCCGTCTACCTGCTCTTCCTCAGGTAGGCCCCCCTCAGGGAAGGAATAGGGGTGGGATTTCAGGCAGACAATAGCGAGGAGAGAATATATTTCCAGCAGGCCCAGCCCAGTTCTGGCAGAAGACTCTACTTGGCTGGTGCTTCCAGGGCTGATGCACTCTGGGGCTGAAGAGGTGGTCCCTCCTCACGGGGCAAGTGGGCAGCAGCTTCTGATAGCCTGTGTCTCCAGGGAGGGACTCTGTGGCTGTGGACGCCTTTGGTTCTGACTGCAGATAGTGGTGGCCCTGCTCTTTGAGGCCATGACTCAAGGCAGGGAGGTGAAGTTCTGTGGCCCAGGCTGGGCGTTTCTAGCTGTCAACAGGCTACCCTGTGATTCCACATGACCTGGCCTAGTGGGTCCTGCTGCCTGTGATTTGTGTTGGCCTTTGAACGCTAACTTTCACCCAGCTGGCTCTTGAATCTGCCCTCATATGAGTAATCAAATCTAATCATCTGAAATCTAATGAGTGATAAAATCTAATTATCTAAAAGCTAATCCCAAAGCAGGAAATGCTGAAACGCTCTGCCAAGGCTTAGAGCCAGTCAGAGCTGCTGCCTCTTTCCAAGGCATCAGGCAAAGGCTAGTTGTGATGAGAACAGTCTTCTCAGCATGAACCTCTTTCACCTGACTGGAACAAAACTTGATAAATTTCTCAAGTCCAGCTATTGTTGGGATGCCTTTTATTTGGAATCTAATGGTCTCACCTGGCTTCACCGTCCTGGAAAATTCAGACACACAGACATGCATTCAGCTGAGGATGTTGCAGGAGAGGGGAGGTAAGTTGTGTGAGAAACCAGGAGTCCCAACCTCAGCTCAGCCTCTTTGAAGGGTCCTGGCCATTGCTGGACACAGCACGTAGGCATCCATGCTGGGTGCTGTGAGAAGCACCTAGGGAGCTTTTGATGAACACTGATGATTAAACCCATGCTGGAGAGTCAGATGCAGCCTGTCAGGGTTGGAACATGGCACCAGGGCGGGGCAGGGGTGCCAGTAGCATCTCAGCTGTTGGCAGCGCTGTTTATAAACTGACAAGCTAAGGACAAGTTTAACCTCTGACTTGCTGTGTGTGATCCACACAGTGATTTTTACACCTTGAATTAATTGCCGCATTTTAAGACCCAGGAGCTTTACACTGTAGAACACACACGCTCCTCCAGCTTATTCTGAAAGGTCAGAAGATCCGGAAGTGCAGGGCCCACGTTTCTACACAGTCTCAGTTAGATGAGCTGAGTGGCAGCACCCACTCCTGTTTACCACGGTCCTCCCTGTTCCTGTTTGTCCACAACACCCCACTGTCCCCATTGTTACCGCCAACTGGCCTAGCCAGTTTGAGTCTGTGCCCCCTGGGTCTATAGGCTTCCTCTTCACTCACCATCACCCTGGGGGAAGACAAAGGGCCAGAAACAAGCATGACCTCTGGAGCCAGACAGACCTGGGTCCTCTTAGGCACTCAGGCCATTCTCTGTCCATTTTCCTCTTGCTGTTTGGCCCATTTGACTTTCACGGATGTGCCATGCGGGGAACAGGTATTATTATCCCCATTTTATAGATGAGGAAACTGAGGTTCAGTTTCTGAGGCTTGCTGAAGGCCAGTCCCCTGGCTAGTCAGAATAAACTGGCCCCGGTATGGCACTTACCTGATCTGGGGCACAGCTCTGATGCTTTAGATGACTCCACCGCCTCTTTGAGCCTCAGTATTCTCCGATGTAAAGCAAGGTGGTTAAACCAGCTTCCAGGGGCTCTTCCAGCTCTGACATTTCACAAACCCTCCTAGGAATCCTGCCCGCGTTTACAGATGTTCTTGCTCCATGGGTATTAGCAACAGTTGTTCCATATGAAATCCAAGAGGAACATCTGTTTTATGATGGATCACAGAAAAGGTATCATCTAGCCTCTCACTACTAAAATGTGCTCTGGGGGCCACACTACTGGCAACACTGGCATCAGCTGGGAGCCCTGTTAGAGACACAGATTCGGAGCCTCCAACCCCACCTGCTGAATCAGAATACACATTTTAACAATATTCCCCCAGTTAATTTGTCTGTATCTTAAGGTCTAAGGAAAACAGTAGTTTACTGGTTTTTCCTTGGAATATTCAGACACCCTATAAGAAACAGACCATCAGAAACCTTCGTTCAGGAACAAAGCATTAGAGTTTGGTCAAGTCCTTTGCTAGATCTATCAGCGTATCAAAATCAACAGCTTCCATATAGTCCAGCAAGCAAGTACAAAATATAATGAAAAATATTTCATTCACAAAAGCTATAAATACATCTTGGAAGTAATCCAACTAGGAATGTACAAATTGTGTATGAACAATAAAACTTTTCTAAATGTAACAAAGAAGACCTGAATAAATGGAACAATATCCCACATGCCTGGATGGGAAGACTTGGTGTAGTCACTTGGCATGATTCTCCCCCTGATAACTTGGTAAATTCAATGCAGTGCCAATCTCAATCCCAACAGCTTTTAAAAGTTCTATGGACAAGAAAAACAGTGGTGAGGAGCATTTGCCTACTACGTATCAATATGTACTATAGAACTACGATACTTTAGATGGTGTGACATTGCAGTAGGAGAAGATAAATAAGCAAATGAAAGAGTCCAGAGACCCAGATGTATGAAAGCAGCATTTCAAAACACTAGGAAATGACAGATTATTTGAGAAAGTTGGAGCTCTATCTACATCACTCCACACGCTAAAAAATTAAGTTCCAGGTGCCTAATAGTATAAAGCCAAAAGTTTTAGAAAAAGCATAAGAAACATATATTCTTGGGGTGACATGAAACCCAGCATCCCTAAAGGAAGGAATTAACAAACTTGGCTACATTAGAATGGCAAAGTTCTAGTGGTGAAAGGCATTTAGAGGTTAAAAAAAGACTGTGAAATGATTTGCAGCAATAACACTTTTCTGTATAAAGACTACACACAATACGAACAAATTAATGACTGAAAACAGGTAAAAGATATGAACAAGCAATTCACAGGAGATAGTCAATTAACATAAAAATATTCAGCCTCACAAATAGAAATGCAAATTAAAACAACAGTGAAATTATTCAACCATTATATTGGCAAAAATCAAAAAGATCTGTCTGGTGGAGAATAAATCAATGCAATCTTTTCCCAAAGCAATTTGGCATTAGCAAAATGTATCTATATTTTGACCCTATAACCCCCTACCGTGAATTCACATCTCAGAAATACCTGCACACGTGAGCAAAGATCTATGTCCTGGAGAGATTTTCTGCACTGTTTGTAAGAACAGCTTAAGTGGACTCACCCTTGGTCAATGGTCTGCAGCAGGGAGACACCCAGGCTTTCCACAGAGAACTTGGTGTCTGTCAAAGGGATGTGCAGGGCATTTTAGAATGTGTAAGTGCCGATAAGTGGCTGGCCAGCTGTGGTGGGGCGGGGATGAGAAGAGGGGGAGAAGATGTGTGAGTCAGGTACATGTTTTCACGGTAAGTTAAAGCAGAGAAATAGAACCAAAATGATGAGTTATATCAAGCCAGGAAAATGTGTGTGTGTTTGTGTGTGTGTGTGTGTGTGTGTGTGTGTGTGTGTATCTGAAGGCTTTAGGGGAGAATCTGTTCCATGCCTTTCTTTAGCTTCTGGTGCTGCCAGCAATCACGTATACGTATAAATAACCTGACATCCTGAGCTTTGTCAGACTCTCTTTTAAGGAACTCAAGACATGTCATCCCATGCCAACCAGAGTTCACACCTGACCTGTATCTTGGCCTCTTTGCAGCCCTAAGCAGGATCCCTCTTCACCAAACTAAGGACCACCCAGCCCCACCTGCAGCCTGTGGTTCTGAGATGCCCCATCTAGCAAGACAGACGGGTGCAAGGAGGCTTCCCCAGAAAGGCCCTTTAAACAAGGGACATTTGTGAGGGAGGATTCCCATAGATGCCCTTCCCGAGCTCCAGGGTTAATACACAGGCTCCCGCCCACCACACCAGGGCTCCCTTCCATACCCTTGGATATCATACCTCCTCACAGACAAGACTCCAAATCCCAAAAGGGGCCTGTCAGTCAAGTTGCCTCACAGAGCAACCCAGAGAAAGAAGCAGAACTGAAGCTAAGCTCTGTTCTTCCCTCAGAGTGCCCCTACCTCTAATCTGGCCGGAACACCTGACACTGGTGTAACCACTTCCCCCACCTGGCCCTGGCTGAGCCCTCTTCCTCGGACCCACACCTCAGGCCTGGTGCCCCTCCTCCACCCAGGGATCCCCTGGGCTTACATCATGTTTTGTATGTTTCAGGCTTCACCTCATTTGTAACATTCATTCAAATATCTAGCCCTTCCGAAACAGTTCCCCCTCCCCACCAACACCCTGTGGTTTCTCCATGCCTTTGGCAATGCAGATATATTAGCTAAAACCTCTTAATTCCTGAAATACCGTCAGAGCCAATTAAAAGGCAGGCCAGCCAGGCAAAGCTAGAACACCTGTTAAAAGGCACCTCAGGGCTTCCCCGGTGGCACAGTGGTTGAGAATCTGCCTGCTAATGCAGGGGACACGGGTTCTAAGCCCTGGTCTGGGAAGATCCCACATGCCACGGAGCAACTAGGCCCATGAGCCACAACTACTGAGCCTGCGCCTGGAGCCTGTGCTCCGCAGCAAGAGGCCGCGACAGTGAGAGGCCCTCGCGCAGCGATGAAGAGTGGCCCCCGCTTGCCGCAACTAGAGAAAGCCCTCGCACAGAAACAAAGACCCAACACAGCCAAAAATAA